TATATATATATATATATATATATATATATATATATATATATATATATATATATATATATATATATATATATATATATATATATATATATATATATAAGATAGTCTGTGTTAGGTTATAAAAACCAATGATATAGAGTGCTCAATGGATAACCAGAGCATAATAGAAAGACACAAAAACTTAGCAAGCTTTGTTTGGCATATTTATTACTATACAGTTTCGTACCACGTGAATAACGTGGCACTCTTCACTCTTCAGATAAAATAGCCTATGTTTGACCTCTAGCTTCTAACGAACTTTTTAAATATGTACAGATGGTAAAGGATGCTTATCTAATTACAGATCAATTAACACCTTAAGGTGGCTCCCTACAGTTATAGTCCAGTTTAAAATATTTATATAGCTCAGACGTCATCCTCGCGACTCGCGCGTGGAATCGTCGTGGCCCGGTAAAAATCTTGAAACAAGTCACAGAATAGGAAGTTATACCAGAAGCGTAACTCGAGCAAATATTTGTCCGCGTTTTTACAAGCGATTCGTCATCAATCACGCCATCCTGGCTAGTACAACCGGCATTTTGTACCTACCAAATCCTGATAGAAACTTCCGGTTGTACTAGCCAGGATGGCGTGGCCTGACGTGAGCGAGTTAAAATTTTCGTGAACGTCAAACAATAAGGGAAACGACTAGAGTTACGCTTCTGGTATAACTTCCTATTCTGTGAACAAGTAAACAAGCCGCGGGAAGTTGTTTTTGTATTTTTATCTACAAAGAAAACGCAAGTTTTTTATTATAATCCTAAACTTTTCAACATTCGAACAGTACGTATATTGTTAGCTAGTTTTTACCTACATTCAGTGTGTTTTTTTTATATATTTAATACGTTCAGTACTGTATTTCATAATGCTCACAATGTTCAACAACAGTGTCACGGACTGAAATTATATTTTATACTGTCTTGAAGGCACTCCTGAATTGTCACTGAAACTTACGTAAACCCTGTCATTCAACTCAGTTCACATGTAGTTTTTATCTGCTGAATCCAATAAAATTATAATGCAGACAGTTACGAGTTGTTTTATACGAAAAGTCAAACTCTACTTGAATGTTTTGAAAAGTTTTCACACCGATTTTCATAACAAAACTAAATTTAAGAAACGTTGGATTAAGTCAGTGCGTTATTGTGTTCTCAATGTTTCGTATTTTGAATACATATATCTTTTATTTTTATTTCAAATAAGTAAAAAATATCTGTGTGATACATATAAGCCAAAAACTCAAAGAGAACATTGCTAAAAAAGCCAACTATAAACCGTACGCGTTTCGTGTTCCCCACGCAAATAGTGATCATGTCGAATCGATATTTTGTCACGTCAACAGCTTCAACTGGATTTAGGACTATTTTTCTCGCGTTTCCTTCGGTGAAAGTTTTTTAAACTTTGCAAGTTTGCTAAGCATGACGATTCGTCAAACATATCAAAATTTCAAGAAATTCTATAAGACAGATTTTTTGTAGTGGTTATTCATGAATATCTCAAAACCTGCCTTATAAACATCCCTTCAAATTTTAATATGTCATTCCCCTTTCAACCATAAATCTTAAAAAAAAAATTCAGAAAAATTGACCGAAGGAAAAAAAAGATATTGCCGTTTGATTGTAAAATTAGACAATAAAAGTGCAAAAGATGAAACGTCATGGTTGCCATGGCAACACTAACACTGTTCCTATTTGTTCATATATCGACAGCAGAAGACTTCTGAACTTTCCTGGAAATGATTATATTGCCCTGTATTAAGTGTTTTCAATATAAATTTGGTTCAAAACGAAGGCTACCTAAGATACTTAAAATTTTAGAAAACTGTAGGGAGCCACCTTAAGCAGTGTCACGAAATATTAGTATCAAGTTATAAAGTTTTTAAGTAGATATTTATTAGCGTGTCTACACGTGGAGACAAGTTCGTTGCGACGATTAAGTGTTGCAATGTCCGGTTTACAAATAATAAAATACTTCTCCCAAATACACAAGTTACATCTCTTGGATGCATTACTGTAAGATTTAGCACGTTTTAAAATTTTCCATCTGATAGAGTAACTAATGTTGTTGTTCTTAAGATTCCAGATGTATTTACTTAATTCAGTAGAGTTGCGCTTCTCATAGTTATTAAATGAAGCTTTGTGATTGGTGTATCGGGTTTTGAATTAATTTTCTGTTAGTCCAACATATGTTTGAGTGGGCCGCTTGTCAGATGTTTTTACTGTCGCTTGGTAGATAACAGATTTTGCTAGACAATTTTTTGACATAGGGCATTCACTTGGTTTTTGGCAATTGCACTTTTTTTCATCGGGGGTTTTAATAGCTTGGTGGGATAGCTTGGATTTGTTATGTCCGTCGATGTTTTGTTTAAAATTGCTCATGCAGCTGTCAGGGGCGTAGCCAAGGGGGGGCGGTCGCCCCCCCAATCGCAAAGAAACTATTCTCTGAAAAAGGCTAAATCCGTAGA